AAAATTTTCCTGGTCATACCCTGAAGTGCAAAGGGAGACAAGGTCTCTGTCCCACTGCCTCTGTAGCACATGTCATGGGACAAGGGCTTGCTTTCCACCAGGACTCGGTAGAACCAGTCATCATTCATGATGAGACTATACTCCATTTCTACTAACAAAATGTTTATTTTACAACAAAATGTTTACTTAAAAAAAATACCCAACACTCCCTGACAGGTGTGGCTCAGTTAGTTGTGTATTGTCCCGCAGAGCAGAAGGTCACCGGTTTGATTCCTGGTCAGGGTATATACATGCCTCGCTACCCAGGGGATGAAGACCAAACTCCTTAATCTGAAAGGCTCTTCTTTCCCCCAGCAACTTCCACCACCCCTTGAAGGACTTCTTGCTCCCCTTCTTTGTGCCTTGTTCCTGGAGCTCATTCCCACATCTCACCCCGTCTCACACAAGCCGCTCTCTGTAAATCCCGTCTAGCCCCAGACTCACTTCTCCTCTCACAACAGTGACTGTCTGTGCCAAGGACTGAGGTTCAGGGCAAGAGGCTCTGGCTCTTTGTAGTACACATGCACCACGAGTCCCCTCCAACTGGGACCTCTCTGAACAACTCAGGATAAAGAGATCATCTACTGCCCTGGTGACTGTAGGTGGCTGCTTAGGATATGGTAGTTCAGCACTGATCCAACCAGCTTTTTTCTGGAGAGTACATCTTCCTTGTAAAACCCATACATGGCCGGGCTAGAAGCTAAGTTCCAGTGGATTCCCAACCTCAGATCACGGCTGAGCACCTGATGGGCCAGAGCACCTGATGGGCCAACAAATCCTTTTCTGGAATCCTTTAGACTTGAAATCAAGAGTACCAGGCCCAGGGATAATGGGGAGCTGTCTCCCACCAAGTAGATGGAGGGGTGGGGGGAATAAGCAGATGCACAAAGGGAAAGACTTGGGAGGGGCCACTGGCATTGAGCCCTGGAGTCAGTTCTAGAAGAAGAGCCGTACCCCCATCACAGGTACCCTGATGCTGTGAGATCCTCAGAGCAATGTAGCTTGAGTTGGGTTTCTATGAACAGTCCTATCTAAGCCAGTGACTACTGAAAAGCTTTTGATTTTTATCTAGAAAAACTGATGAAGACAAAAGGAGGCACGGGGAAAAGACTGGCAATGAACAGTCTTCATCTTAGATCTCAGCTTAGCTACTTGGGAGCCATTCAATCCTAGGTTATGTAGAGAACATCTCTGGGACTCAATTTCCATATCGCAAAATGGGAATCTGGACACAATCTCATAGTCTGATAATGAAAGGAGACACTGCATGTAACACTCTTAGCACATGCAAGCAGCCAACCCATGATGGCTGCTTTTACACTCTCATCAGGCCTTTACCCTGAGCCAGCTTTGTTAAGTGCTCCACAAACATCTAGCAGAACCCCCACCCCAATGACAAAAATAGCATAAGCCCCAATGAGAAGAGTAAGGCCCAAGAGCTGAAGCCACCTTTCCAAGGTCACTCAGCCAAAGCTGATCTCTGTGACTTAAAATTCCCTGCCTTTTTCGTCTTTTCACTGTGTTCTAAGTGATGGAAAGAGCAGAGTTCATGCCTATTGACCATCCTGTCTTTTTTAAAAAATCCTCCCAAAGACTCCACTCCAAGGTGTGGTGTAAAGGGGTGTGTGTGGCGGGGGGCGTGGGGGTGGAGGGGGAACAGGGGTGGGTGAGTGGGTGGGAGGGTATTCTGTCTCAATTTATGAAATCTGTGCCAGGTGGGCTTTGTTAAAAACTCCAGCACATTTTGTATGTTCCCTTCCATGACTCTCCATGAGGTTGCCAGGTCACAGAAATAGGCTCTTGCACATTGAGGATGGTTTAAGATCCTTACTTTTAGTAGCAAGTGGCTCAGAAACGTCAATTTTATTCTGTTTTAATTTCCTAGGACTTAAACTGTCACTGGTAACCAAGCCTGTCTTTCAGTGCTGCAATTTGAATCTCCCCAAACTAGAATATCAAGGGAAGGTTTTAAATATGATACAGAAGCTAAAAATATTAGAAAAATAAGTTGCCGAGAACAGCTTCTTCACATTCAGGGAGAAAGAGGCCCCAAAATGCTAAGAGCTGCCCCGGGCCTAGGGTGTGGCAGAGCCCGGCCTGGTGCCCCAGCCTTCTGCCTCCCCATTGGGGGCTTCACCCTCATCACAGCTCTGTCTCCCTTGCGGATCCTACTGTTTGTCTGTTCCAGCTCCTACAGAATCAGAAAGATTATGAGGATGGGATCATAAATCACTTTTCTCTCTTGAGTTTACAGTGTTCCTTTCTGAGGAGTTCAAAAGCACTCAGTAATAAACCAAGGTGATGAGTTTATGTCTTTTGCTTTTAAAATGAAACTTTATTTGAACTCCTGGCGAGGCATTTACTTTTTTTTTAATTTAGGACATTCCTCTCTTATTCCAACTTTTCGCCCCATGGCATTTTCTGTGGGCGGGTGGGTAATGAGAGTCGGGGGGGCGGTGTGTGTGTCTGTTCTCCCACAGGCTTTTCCGAGTGCCTGAGAGACAGAGTCCTCTCTTCCATGGCTTTTAACAAGCCTCAAACATCCATACAGAGAAGTCCCTCCTCCCACCCCAACACTGACTTGGCTGCTCCTCATTTCTGTTTCTCTCTCCACTGCCCACCACGGCCACGAAGGGCAAAGACATGACGGAAAGCCGCGCTGCCTGCAGGAGCGCTGCCTGCCGCGAGGGCTGCTTTTCTTTTCTTTACCCTAGTCTCTCGCCACTGACCTTGGGGGCTCAAAAAGGAAGAAAACACAGTTAGTAGAAGTTAACAAAATTGAAGCTGAGAACAATTACACTTTAAGAAGATGAAAGAGAAAAAGAGAGAGGGAAGGAGAAAGAGAGATGTCTGACTTTGTGCACCTCTTGCACCAACCCAGGTTTTACACAAATGCAAAACTGCCTTTGCCCAAGCATTTTTGCTAATGATTTTACTCAGGTGTTAAGCCAAATTTCAGTAACTAGCCGCAGGTAAATACTGCCTAGCCACTCCACTACCTTTCTAAATAGAAACATGGTGTGGGGGTGGGGGGTGTGGGTGGCGGGGGAGGGGGCGCGGATGTTATTGCTTGTAAGCAATTTACAAGCAAGACACTTAACTTCTGGGTTCCTGCATTTAATAAATATTTGGTAAATGAATAAACCTAAGAAGTACTTTATGATTCAGTATATACCTGGACTTTTATTTCCCTTGGCTTCATAGGCCAGCAAGCCAAACCACACAAAACTCTCCAAGTAAAACCATTACAGGGTTGTTCTAGGTAAAGGAGGAAACAATAGGAGAAGAAGAGTGTCCCTGGGGACCCTGTTTCAACCCATTCATAGACACAGCAGATACAAAGGTGGAGTACCACCAAACTGGGGCAAAGCAAATTAAAACAAGCTGCTGAGCCCTGCATAGCAGCAGCTTAAGTAAAGGAGAAAATATATTAGGAGCGTACTACCTACAAGGCAAGCACTGTTCCTACAGCCTTTAGATGTAGCTGGCTTTTCTCCTAGGAATACTAAAATATTCTCAAGGGGGTCACTGACCTCCTAGCATCTTTAAGCAGTTCTGGCCAACTATTTAAACAACTAAGTATCAGCCTGGGCCACCTGAAACACCTTGACTCAACTTTGTGAACTGTAAACCAAGCAGGTAATAACTCCTGTGTTTGTTTTTCTGTTTTTTCCTATAAAGGGGCAAAAGAATTGACAAGTGCTAGGAAGCTACTTGGAAGACAAGTGGGAGGCAAAAAAAATCACAGATTAGACCCATGAGGATCTCCTGGGCCTAAAGCCTTTCAAGAGACATTGTTGAGCTATCTTCAAGGCTAGGAGAGGCTCTTTCCCAAATATCCTGCATCAAAATAACCTCTTCTCTTGCCTGTGTCTCCCAAGAAACCCTCAAAAGTCCAGGAACCAAGACCTTATTTCTCCCAGCTGTCTCCCCATGGTATGTAGAACAGCAATTTCTGAGAATATAAAAAACATCCAGACAATAACACTAACCTTAGGAGATACCACCCTCCCTCCAATCAAAATTCTAATAACTTTCACCAAATCTTTCCCTTTCACAGAGTGATCCAGTTTAAAACAGGTTGTTACCTGTCTTATTTCAAGATCACTGACAAATGGTTTTCCAAAATAAATTTATTTCTATCTTATACTGCCATCAGAAGTAATGCTGATACTCTTAGCCAAAAACAATAAAATAAAAGTCTTTTTTAGTACTTCTAAATGGGATGACAATAGCCAATGGTAGCAAACATGTTTTGAGAGCTTACTCTGTGCTACATGCTTGCATCTCCTCTCACCTCCTAACCATCCTATGAGGTAAGTTCTAATACAGGAGCATAATTGCTGTCTGCCATTCTGAAACCAAAAAAGCTCTAAGACCGAAAAGTTTTTCCATAGCTTACTTGGCAGCAAAACTTAATAGATCTGAACTCATTTTGGAGGCAAAGCTGTTCCAAACACGAAGCTATTTAAGTTTTAGTTAACCCACTAATGTGAATATCCATAAAGTTTGCTACACAAAGATGAATGTGTTTGATTACCAAGTACTGACTCGAATCTACTGGGAACTACTTATAAAACATGTACATCTTAATACCTTTCTAAACCCTCAAAAGTCTCAGAATTCTGAAACATCTGGCCCCAAGGGTATAAGATAAAGTATTGTGAATCTATTATAAACCCATTTCACAGATAAGAAACTGAGAGTCCTTGAGGGGAAGTAACTTGCTTAAGGCCACTAAGTGGTCAAGACGTGGAGGTCGGCAGTCTCCATCAGAGTCCAAGCTGGTAGTACCATGGTGGGTTGTTAGAAGACGTCTCAGTGCTCAACACATTTTTCATAGCAAAGAACGCTGTGCCAGCAAGGATATTCTCTATAACGAACTATTGGATGAATTGAGGAAATGGGAAAGTAGAGAACAACAATCAGAACTGGAGTGATTCAGAAGGCCTAGTTCTTACCTTGCCCAGGACAGTGAGGCATGGTTTCGGGTCCAATTCTGGCTGTTCCAGCTTCACCACTCCTACCCAGCCATATTCATACAAGTCCTCTTCGTCATTGTTATTACATAGGCCCAGTGGGTGCATCTAGGAAACAGAAGGACAAGAAAACTTCAATTCACTGGCTGCAGATATGATTGACTCACACTGTATTTCTCAGACTCGACAATCAAAACTTAAAATTATATGGTGGGTTGGGGTGCATTTTTCAACCCATTTGGGATCCTACCTGAGCACAATGAGCCGTGCTCTGGGGAGAAAACAATAGAGTCACTATAAATATATTTTATGAATGCTTTCTCACCGATTTGTAAACAGTGGTCACCAAAGGTGGACACCGCCCCATAGCATGTAAGGGAAAAAAGCCTAACATCCATGCAAATGCCAATCTAATTTGTTTGCTGTGTAATAGCATAACATTAAGTAGCAGTTACAGATGAGACTAGCTGGGTAAGTATCCAAGACTATTTGGCTTCTAGACCTTAACAACGCATCAACTTCAGCTTATGCAACAGGACCTGGAAACATATTCAGGAATTTATGGAGAGACCACTAGAAATATGGCAGGATCACCAGTATAATTAACAGGCTGTTTAAAGGCTATCCCTGGTTACTGGGAAACAGATTAAATTCTTTGAGGCTTTTTCAGAACTTGCAAAGCACAAAAACCAAAGATAGGTAGAGGAGCATTGTCAATTTTTGCTGGTAAAAATGCAGTCCATGGAAATCTGAAGAGAACGATCCTAAGGTTTGCACTCACAGTTCTATCACTGAGTTGTTTCAGGCCCTAGGCTCCATAATAACAACCTGAGAAGAAAAAATCCTCATGGATCAACATAATTTATCAAGATGTTAATGAGCTTCTTAAGTAACCGGGGGAAATTTGTCTTTAGATTTATGGCATTTTAGAGACACATCCCAATCCCCAGAACCTGTGACTATGTTACCTTATGTGGCACAAGAAACTACAGATATGAGTAAGTTTGAGGGGGGGGATTATCCCGGATTAACCAGGTGGGTCCAATGTAGTCACAAGGGTCCTTACAAGGAAAGAAGGGAATCATGGAAACAGCAAGGAGATAGAGCAATGAGCTTTGAAGATGAAGGAGGGAGCCATGAGCCAAGGAATGTAGGAAGTGGGCCTCCAGAAGCTGAAAAAGAAATGGATTCTCCCTAGAGCCTCCTGGAGGAATGTTGCCATGCCAACCCATTTTTGACTTCTCCCCTCCAGAATAGCACAATAGAATAAATTTGTGTTGCTTTAAGCCACCAAGTTGTGGTAATTTGTTATAGCAGCGAATAGTAAACTAATACACTCCTTAACCCTCACTCATTTTACAGATGAGAAAGGAAGTTCAGGGTAAGTAGTTTTTCCGAGACAACACAGCCAGCAAGTGGCTGCACCCAGAGGTGACTTGGGTCTTGGATCCACAGTCCAGTGTCCTCTCACTTTAACTGCTTGACTTTATTGTCCCTTCTTCAAGAGCTGGTCATTTGATTGGAGAGAAAAGTCTAAGTAATAAATCTTTATTTAAAAAGTTGCCTACCAGCTCTAAATCCTGTCGCATCAGAGTGCAACATGAGTTTTGTGCAAGAAGCAAGGGTTACTGGAATGTTTGGGGAGGCTTTGTGCAACTGCTGAAGCTTAAGCTGAGCTTCAAATGAAGAGATAGACTGGTTTGGCAAGGGAAAAAATGAGAGATGGCAGGCAGTCAGTCATTCCAGTCCAGGGGAAGAGAAGCTAAGGGCCTGAGAGGGAAGAGTGCTTAAGAGAGCCTGATCAAGTACGGAGGAGCACAGTTGTACCAAAAAGGAGAGAAATGGGCCAGAAAACTAAATAGGAATTTGGACACCAAGACTACAGCACAGATTCTTCAGAAGAAGAATGGCACATTGAAAATAGTTTATTTGAGTCAGAGGAGTGGCACACTTCTAGCAGTACTGGGCCTGGACTTGAGAGGCATCAATGGGTGGAGGGGTAAAGGGTGCAGCCTGGAGAAGAGAGATCCTGGGCAATTCAATGGAACAACAAGGAGGCTGCACAAGCCCGTGAGGCAGAAGAGCACAGGCTGCTACAGGGGGCATCAACAGCAGTCTTTAGGGTGGATGAGGGATAACCACCCCCTTGGAATTGCAACGAGACAGAGAGCCCTGGGACATTCAATTTCTCCATGAGTCCTCAGGTTTGGAGAGTGTGCTCCAAGGACCAATGAGGGTTCGCAGTGCAGTGGATGGCACAACCTTCCCGCCAGCTGCCCTGAAGAACTCTGTCCACTCCAGGATGTTTGATGGTTATTAAATGATGAGCAGCTTGAAAAGGAGGCCTCACACTGAAGAGAGGATGGCTAAGGATGATAAGCCAATTGTACCAACAGTTCAGTCACCTCTGACCTCCAGGAAGGGCTCCCAGCCCGGCTCAAGTCAGCTTCCTGAAACTCCTGGTCAAGTCATGTCAATGGTAACCACACTACTGACCCTTTTCTACAGTGTTCTATGATATTTTAAGCCTGGTCTCATGACTTGGAGGTTTACAGATGAAGAGTTGCTTTTTGTTACTTAAAAGTGTATGGGGTTTGGTCAATAATAAAGAGCTGTGTTGGGGGAAACAGAGGTATCATGCAGTCTAAGACCTTGTATTTATATCAAAGAAGCCAGACACAAAAGACCACGTATTATATGACTTCATTGATATGAAATATCCAGAACAGACAAATCCATAGAGAGGGAAAGCAGATTAGTGTTTGCTGAGGTCGGAAGGAGTGGGGGATGGGGAGTGACTGCTTAACGGGTACCGGGTTTCCTTTTGGGCTGATGCGAACGTCCTGGAATCGGATGACAGCGGTGGGTGCAGAGCACTGTAAAAGTACTACATGCCTCTGAATTGTATACTTCAACTCGGATGGGTGAAGTGGTGAATTTTATATCAGTTTTACTATAATGAAAAGTTTTTAAAAAAGTGTCCCAGGAGTTTCTTCAGAAGCGACTAACGGGGGACCTATAGTGGAGGACGATGTGGTTTCCAACCTTCTAGAGCCAAAGCCAATTACCATGGCCCTTCCAGAAACGGTGTCCTGCAAGATGAAAAACAGGTTCTGATACAAGTAAATAACTTGAGAAACACTTCATAGGGATTCAGGATTTGCACTTATAAATTAAAGGTCTGCAGAGGCTTAAGGTTTAAAAAAACAAAAGGTTTTTAACCTTTATTAAAACGAGCATTTCCTACCTTTTGATTATAAGCCCATTTGGTGTTTAATATGATCACATTGTTTCATGGGACAGGCTTTGAGAAATGCATACACGCATGACGGAATAAAGCTAAAGCAAATATGATTCAAATGCTGAACACCCATGATGCAAAGAATAAAGGCTAGGGTGAAAGAGATGGAGGGACAGTCGAGGGCACCCTGGGAGGGCGGGGAGGATGTGGAGAGAGGACGAGGAAAAGGAGGATCACCAGGGGAGCCAAGGGCAGGAGAAGCAGAAGGCAGAGCCGAGGACTGGCACTTGGCAGCCACAGGGAGGAAGAAGTCAGTCTGGCCAGGCTGAAGGCTTCTGTTGTAAGGAGCAAAACTCAGGGCCACATTCAAGAGAGTCCTCGAGTGTACAGAAATCTGGATGATGTAAGCCTCAAGCACACCTGCTGGTCTCCTATGGTCTGCCTGGCCCAGTGTCCTGGGCTGCACTTCATGGAGGGCCCTCTGTCCCTCCTCCAAAGTCATGCCCTCCCATTCTCCTCTAAGACTCCCCTATCAAATCATCCACTGACACTGGGGTGACTGTTAGCTCAAAATGCCAGCCCTGTCAAGGATGTTGACTTCTGAACAGAGATCAAAGACTTAAAAACCAAAAGGAATTTTTCTAAAGCGCCAGTGGGTGTGATTGATTGGCATGGGTTGTTTATTTTCCCATGGAGGGCAAAGAGGCCACCAAAATCAAATCTCAGAGAACTGAAAACCTAACTCACAATCTCTACCACTTCCCAGCTCCCATTTTTGAGCTCTTTCTCTCCTGAGTTACTTATTCCAGTTTACAGCTCCAAGTGCCCAAACTACTTTCCTGTTAATTTAATCTCAACTACGTTGCAAGTAGAACTGGCCTCTCTGACCCATATGCTGAGTATTTTATGATTCAGGTCTCTGTCAGCTCACCTTCATGACAATATCAGCTTCTGGAAATACCCGCCACCCCAGGTCTCCAACCATTTACACCCTGGGGTTCTCTTTTCCCAAGGGCTCCAAGTTATGAGCTCATCAGAACCTTTTATAGAGAAGCACAAGTAGCCATAAAATGAAAATATTCCTTTGTGAATTGACCTGTCTCAAAGGATGGAAGAGTCCAGGCAAAGGCGTAAAATGCAAATGGATACATCAAGTCTGTGGAAAGTGAAGAAGGGGATGATATCTACTATGTTGCTATGTTCATGTATTTTATTTTATTTAATCCTTTTAGTAATCTCTTGCAAATTGTTGAAATATCAGATGATATAATGACTAACTAGACCATGTAAATTAATAAATTGCAAATTAGAACTGCAAATCAGTCACTGATGCAGAATATAATGGAGTCTATGAAAGTCATATTAGTCAATGACAGGATTCCACTCAAAGTCAATGGCAACCAGTCTAGTGAAGGATTAAAGAAGAAATCCAAATGGGAGTTTCCACTGAGAATGATCAAAGGATTAAGACAGAACTTTGGAAAAAGTGAGAGTCCTCTAATATTTTTGGGAAAATGACTTTTGATGATCTTGTTGTTGAAGTTCAACATAAGAAGAATGCCACATCCATACTCTTGTACAATTTTGCTGAAAATATCCCAACACTGCCTACATGGGATTCATTCTTTGTTTATTCTCAGAAATCAGTACAAAGCTACTATTATAATTTAACTTGTTAAATTAAAGCACAAACTATAATTTACAGTTTCATTTTTCAAGATAAAGCCCTAGTCAAATCTTTCTTTCTACTATTTACTGAAAAATATTAGCCCCTAACTTAAAAAGGTCCCTAAAGTCCCTTTCTGGATAGCACTCCTATAGATAGGTAATGAGGACTCCTACATATGGACTGCATATACTCTCCTGA